CACTAGGGAATCCCCAAAAGGGATAAACCCGTTCTGCATCAGAATCGCGGCCGAGCCCAGCCCAGGATCCAAAGAACCGGGCCAAATGGGCAGGTAAGCGAACGGATGAAGGAACGAAGAAACGGGGAATCTCCAAAGGGGATAAACATATTCCCCATCACAATCGCGGCCGAGCCTAGCTCAGGATCCAAAGGACCGGACCAAATGGGCAGGTAAGACGAGCGGACGGCGGAATGAAAAACAAAGGGATCCCAAGAAGGATCAAACAAGGAAGAAGACAAATCCTCACCGACTACGTTGGTTACGCTCGGCTCATGATCCAAAGGACCGGGCTAAACGAGTGGGTACGACGAGGAGCGGGTGATGGAACGAAGAGATAAAAGAATCCAAAGAAGGATCAAATAAAAGGATCCAGAGGAGGATCACACAAGAAGAAGAGAAACCCCCAAAAGGGGAAAGAGCCGTTCCTCACCAAATACAGAGATCTAACTCAAAGCTCAGGATCCAAAGGACCGAGCTAAAGGGTAGGTACGACGAGCAGATGAGGACGATCATCTTATGCATCACGATCGGCCCCTCAACGCCATCATGTCCAGTTTACGGTCGGCTCGTCCATTCCTTCCAGGATGGGGACCACCGTCTTATGCAGCACGATCGGCCCCTCAACGCCGTCGTGTCCAGTTTACGGTGGTCTCGTACATTCCTCCCAGGATGGGGACCACTGTCTTATGCAGCACGATCGGCCCCTCAGCGCCATCGTGACCAGTTTACGGTCGGCTCGCCCATTCCTTCCAGGATGAGGACCACCGTCTTATGCAGCACGATCGGCCCCTCAGCGCCATCGTGTCCAGTTTACGGTCGGCTCATCCATTCCTTCCAGGATGGGGACCACCGCCTTATGCAGCACGATCGACCCCTCAGTGCCATCGTGTCTGGCTCATCTTCAGTTTCGCTCATTCCCTCCAGGATGGCGACGACCGTCTTATGCAGCACGATCGACCCTCAGTGCCATCGTGTCTAGCTCATCTACGGCTCGCTCATTCCCTCAAGTATGGCGACGACCGTCTTATGCAGCACGATCGACCCTCAGTGCCATCGTGTCTAGCTCATCTCCAGCTCGCTCATTCCTTCCAGGATGGCGACCACCGTCTTATGCAGCACGATCGGCCCCTCAACACCATCGTGTCCAGTTCACGGTTGTCTAGTACATTTCCCTCCAGGATGGCGACGACCGTATTATGCAGCACGATCGACCCCTCAGTGTCATCGTGTCTAGCTCATCTCCGACTTCGCTCATTCTCTCCAGGATGGCGATGGCCGTATTATGCAGCACGATCGGCCCCTCAACGCCATTGTGTCTAGTTCATGTTTAGCTCGTTCATACCTTCCAGGGTGGCGACGATCGTCTTATGCAGCACGAACGGCCCCTCAGTGCCATTCTTGTCCGGTTCTTGTTTGACGTAAGACCACACCATGGCAAAGTAAGACCATACCTTGGCAAAGTAAGACCATAGCGTGGCAACGAATGTCTTATGCAGCACGCTCGGCCCCTCAGCACCATCGTGCCCGGTTTACCGGTGACATTTACCGCTTTGTATCACATCTTACATGCCCTCTCTCATACATTGCACTCATACATCACATGCATTCATACATTCATGCATCATCTCTCGTACATCCATACATACATGTACATCATATCGAGTCAGTTCCGCATCGTCAGCTTATATTGTGCAGGGACCTCTACGCTTCTCCATTGGAGTGCCTTACCGGCAGGTTATATTCAGAGGGGCAGACACCCACTCATATATTATGATTGCTCGAAGGCTCAGGTCCAAGGAAGACAGTGGAAGAGCGCAGACAAGAGTATATTTTCTCGAGCAGATTCGCACGCTCACTACTCAAGAAACTGGGGGACTTGTGTTGGGATATATCATCCCGGCCTATTACTGTTCAGAAGCCCAACCCATTACCCCGGGTCAGAGCCCAATCGACGAGGGCCGTTTTTCAGCCTTTCAGACTTGTTTTGGCCTTTTGGGCCCATTAAGGTAGAAATGAACCCTCCCCCCTTTCCCCTATAAATAGAGGCTTTCCCACAATGTTTAGGGACTTTTTCTCTTCTTCCCCACACCCCACTTCTCTCTAAAGCTTAGAGCTCCATTAATGACTACCAAGGGTCAAACTTGTACATTCTAATGGTGAGGAGAGATTAATGAGGATGAGAGGGTTTGGACATTAGCCTAAACAGTCCCGTGGTTTTCTCCCTTTTCGGGTTTCCACGTAAAAATCTTTGTTTATATTTTATTATCACCCCTTAACCATGAAACCCTCCCGGAAGGGGTGTTAAACTTCCGGGCTGCGGTGAATTAACCTCAACAGTAACATTGTTTTTCGGCTTATCAGACTTATCGGTCAACTTTTCACCAAACATGTAACTTTTATTTTCGCGCGTTGAATTGTGTAATAATAAGAAAAAGTAAGGTTGGAGTTACTTTTCTAGCTGTATTGACTGAAGTTACCGTAAATGACCATTTTAGTTATTTGTACATATAATTTTTTCTTTATTTTATTAAATAAAATATATTTTAAAACTAATTTTTTCACAAATTAGCAGAATCAGCTAATGCAATCACTTCATCCAGATTTTCATAAATTTCAGCAAAATCAGCCGATTTTCATGTTACCAAACGTGCTCGGTACGCGAAATCAAAATTATGTGTTTGATGAAAATTTTGGATTAGAATAGGAAAAATGTATACAAAACTTCCTAAACTACCACTCCATATTATAGTACGATACGTATTGTTAAGTCGTCTTTGTACTTCCTAGTTCCTAGTAGTGTAATATATGCACGTTGACCAGAAAGGCAGAAACATAACCTTATCAGCTCCAGGAAAAAAGAATGGCTACGGTTGGAGGCATTTCCGGCGAGAAGGATCAGAACAGCCTAGATGTCGAAGATCATGCTAAGTTTGCCGTCTCCGAGCAGAATAAGAAAGAGGTTCTCTCTCTTCGTGTTTGTAAAAGTTGCATTCAATAACAGATTATTTTTCGAATCTTTCGGATTTTCCGCTCGATTCGGCGTCTGAGCCCACGGATGCTCGCTCGTTGTGTTTATAATTCGTGGATGCGTCGAAATTCTGTGCATTAAGACGTGCGTAGATTTGCATTTCACCTCGACCGATTTTTTCTTCTCCCTTCTTCTTTTCCATAACATTAATGAATATATGATGTGTATTGTCAGAATTCCAATTTGAAGTTTGAGAAAGTGGTGAGTGTGAAGCAGCAGGTGGTCGCTGGGACGATTCACCATATAACGCTGGAGGCAACTGATAAGGGTACTAATCACAAAAAGGTTTATGAAGCTAAGGTTTGGGAGAAGCCATGGATGGACTTCAAGGAATTGCAGGATTTCAAAGCCATTGGTGATGCCCCTACTTCTTCTTAGCTTAACGCTTTGCTACTAAAACCATTTTCTGGAGTGGTGCTAATAATAATCTTGGACAATGAAGTGTTTTGTTGTTATGTTATTAACTTATTGCTATTCTGAGTAATAGTAATAGTAATAAATATACATTTTAAAGAGATTATGTATCAATGTATGAACCATGATGATGAATAGTATAACATTAATGGTTGTCTTTCAAGTTTCACCTCTTAGATGGTGTGTGTTACTGTGTTTTATGCCTTGTATGTAGCCAGTGGAAACAAATGTAATGCCATCCCATTACATTCATTCATGAAAGCAATAAGGTGCAATCCCAAACCCCATCCATGAGGGCTCAGGCCCCCCATCCCCATCTATGAGGTCTCGAGAAACAGGATAAAAACTTACTATGAAGGTTAAATTGAACTGTGACGACAATGTGATTGATAAAAGGTGGTGCTTGCACGTTATACTTGCAGGATCTGTTGAACGGGATCCGAATCGCCTCCCATTACACCCATCCATTCATGGGATTATGTATCATTGTAAAGAATGGTGATTTTGAAGGAACTTAACTCATAATGGGGTGATTGAAGTTATTCTCATAATGGGGTGATTTTAGAAGCCTTTTAGATTTTGATGATATCCCAATCTCTACTCATTTGATTTATACATTCTAAACATCCCTTAATTGTTTTGCACATAAACAGAAGTCAAGGAGAATTGTATCACGTTTTATTGTTTTAAGGAAATTAATTCAAATACCTCAAACTTTGAAGGGGTGCGAGCCTGTGAGGTAAGACCAAATATGGTCATGGACTCATGTTGCTAACATAACTTTTAATATAGAGTTCGGGATACTTACCTCACACTCCTTTAAAGTTTGGGGTATTTAAATTATTTTCTTCTTGATTTAAGGTATTATAAATGAAGGTCTGATGCACATCATTGTGGTGGCATAAACATATACCTCATGGTTAAGGTTTGTACTTAAGCCGGTTCTAGTAAGAGTGAATACTCAACCTTAGGTTTGTACTTGAGCCGGTTCTAGTAAGAGTGAATACTCAACCTTAACCGGTGCTTTTCAGTTTTGATCAGTTTTAAATCTTTTGATACTATTTTAGAGGAACCAAAAAGAATGTGGATTGGTTGTAGATCAGAATTAATTAATTACTCCTATTTAATTATGAGTGCCGGTCTAAATCTTTCAACCAACTAATTTTGGATCTAGCCCAGCCAGCTAACTCATATGCAACCTATTGAGATGAATTATGAGATGAATAACTACGCAAAATATTCAAAGATTATTTCTTTACTCAACACAAAAAATACTTTTAAAATTTAAACCTAGTATCATTTCTTTCTGTTCACATTAAAATGCATATTCTAAATTACTCTTTTCGTAATTATCAATTAATTGATGCAGTTAAATGAGGTGTAGATTCAAATAAAATAAGGAGTATGACCGCAACAAGCTTATAAACCAAATAATGGCTGTGCCAAACAGGGACTTATCACGAAGAGGTTCCAGTATGATTTAGCTGCAAAGCATTTTCATGGAACGTGAAATGAGGAAGATAAGCAAAGAATTTTTGAAAGAGCATATTGCACTAGAATTGATCAGACAACCATTAACAAGGGGAAAAGCATATTCATATATGATCAAACAACGCCAACACCAAATCCAAGCACATCTTAATGTCTCTTTCTTTTTCCTTTTATTCAACCATCAAACTTATCCCCCACCCCTATATCCCTATAAGGAAGGAGAGGAAACAAATTGTCGGGGCAAACTAAAAAGATCCTTCTCTTCGAAAGGAGAAGTCCACTCACGCGACACCCCACCAGCAGATGTTTCCACGGCCGAACCCATCCCTTCCTGCAACCTGGTAGGAATTGAAATGCCATCAGACAAAATGGGTCCCATTGCAACCCTTCCCGGTGGAAATGTATGGTGGTGGTGGTGGTTGTTTTGCATGGGTGGGTTCATTTTCGACCACAGGCCTCCCGACGGAGCTGATGATGATAAATTAGAACCCAGACTCCAGTCTATGGTGTTGTAATCCAGATGCGGCACTGAAAACCCACTGTTCCAGTCCACATGAGGAGAAGGCGGACCTAATGGGCTGTGGCTGCCTAACCCAGAGAAGAGCCCAAGGGAGGAAGCTGCAGCAACTGTATGAGGCTGAAATGTACTACCACCAGTTCTACTACTCCATATACTGTTTCCCCTGCTGCTAATTCCTGGGGATTCATGTGGGCCCCCATTACTTGACACATTTTGATACTGTTGCGGGAGATAATGATGATGACTGTATAATAATTGGTTTGATGTACTGAAACTGTCATGGGTAGGGTTTCTCATGCCTGGAACATGTGTCACCATCCCATCGGGCTTCATAGGTTCAACACCATGTAGGTACCACCCCCCTCCACCAGGAGGTGATGAGCTTACTATGGTTGATGGTGGAACCCCCTGTTGCTTTGCATTATTGGACTGTTGCTGTGGTCGTTGCATTACTATAACCGGTTCTTTAATGCTTCCTAACTGTAGGTTCTTCAGTTCATTCCCAACAGCTATGTATCTATGAGGTTCAGTAGTCACCATCACTGATGGAGGAGGCGGGGTTTGTGAAGTAGTTAAAGAATTATATGAAGATGTGTTTGATATTATTGCACTTGGCCATCGCTTATCAGGAGAAGGAGTGATTGATGGTGGTGCCGGCTTGACCCATTCTGTTTTTGGTTGGATTCCCTTTGATGATTGTTGTATACTTTTGCCTGCTGGATCTATAGAAGTATTCAGTATTTTTTCATCCTTACGCTGCTGTATAGAGACCGATGGACCTGGTTTTGCAGATAGAATTGTTGATATCTGATTACTAGTGGTCAATGGGAGTTTACTGGTTTCATCTGGTTTTGATTGCACACTATTTGTGGTATCCTGCTTTTGCGCCCGAAGAGTTTCTTCAGCCTTATTGAGATCACCTTCACAGGCAACTACGGCTCTCTCAACCTCCTGCTTGGAACATTTATACCTACTCTCAATGTCTGTAATACGAGAAAGCTCTTCGGATATATCAATTTTCAAATTACCTCCACCACCGTCAATTTTGTGTTCTTTGTGCTTATTGTTATCTGCTTCTTCACCTTCTTCAAACAGCCACGCCACTGATTCCTCTACTCTTCCTTCATTCAGAATGAGAGCCATTGTTGCTCGTTCTGAAGAGAATCCCATTGCCACAAGCTGTTGAGCAAGCGATTCCAACTTTCTTGACATTAAATACCCGCTGCACTTTTCGTGCAGTTCTTGGGCCCGTCTCTCCTTTTGACGTTGATGTTTTTTTTCATTCTTTTGACGGATTTTTTCGCGTTTGTCATTATCAGCACCAGACACTGTTTCTTGTTTGGGGGTAGGAGGGTGAGATGTTTTTTCTTTGTGGTCCTCTGACTCACCAGACCAGCTACCATTGTTCGAGACAGAATCATACTCCCCGCCGTTGCCAAACGAGTTGCTACTTTGATCATCCGTCTCGTCTATGTTTTTGAAGCGGCCGTTGGCATGAAGTGAAGAGGCAGAAGAACCAGGTACAGAGTCCAGAGCATGAAATGTTCCCAAAATTGGATTGTATCCACTGGTCAGGGTCCCACCATTAAGATTTGCCTGGTTCAAAGACTTTGAAGGGGTCTTAGGGGGTTCCTTCCCAGACTTTTTGTCCTTGGACTTTCTAGATGCAGGAGACATATCTCTGTTTCTGATTCCAAAACCTAAGAATTAGAGCAAAGTGAATAAACTTAGTTAAAGAATGCAAAAAAATCAAAACCACCTTAATTGAAGAAGCTTAGTTAATGAATGCAATAAAAGCCACAATTCCAAAATATCCAGCTCTAACTAGAAATAGAAGGATGCATTGGCCAATCCAACATGTCATTTAGAATCAGAGTCCTATATGAATTTATGGTGTTGTCTAATCTCAGTTGTATCCTCTATAAGTTTTAAGACTAAGAACCTAACCAAAAAGAAAAATCAAGGAGGTAGGAACGACAGTGCTGCATCAACAAACAGCTTACAGCAAACATTTAAGCTCGGCAAATGATTCAGAGCATAAAAAAATAGTCTAGAAATTAAACAAACATATCCAGAGAGCTAACCAAATGCCCAATCCATCAGAAGATGTCATTTGAAGCATTGAAAGGGCTCTTCTAATAAATGAAGATGGCAAAACAAAAGAAATGAAAAGTATAATAGATATCCATAAATTTAATTTAATTTAAATATATTTTCGTAGAGTATGCTCGAGGAAAAAATATGATTCATTCGTACAACTAGTGCACAAAACTCCAGATACCAATCCGGCGATATGAAAACACTTAACGAGCGATCACCAATTACCCGCCCAAATGCAGATCACGAAACAGCAATCTGGCCGCAAGTAATCCTCCAATCCCCAACCGATACCCCGATTCTAAGGTCAATCTCTAAGAAATGTACATTCCAATCCCAACACAAACAGATACTCCGTATTTAAATTGACTATCAACAACGAACAGATACAGCAAAACAAACGAGGCTGAGGGAATTGGCGGGATACGTACCTTCAACGAGAGAAAAGGCGGCGGATCGGCGAACGGGAACCGGCGCGACAGATATAAATCGGCTTTGTGTGAGGGGGGGAGATTGAGAGGATTGGTTCGAGAAGGAGATTGAATTTGATAGCTTGAGGGAAAAGAGAGATGCTGAAATGAAACTGAATCGACGAAATTAGGGTTCAATGTCCGCTCAGACGTGTGTGGCAGATTTTCAATTTTGATTTGTCTTGTGTGTCCGATTGATTGACCAACAAAATTAATTAAAATAAATTACTCGACGTTTAAACTTTAAATATATGATCCACTCCAAGAGGGAGCCAGAGTGGGTCAGTGAAGACCATTAATTAACGTTTAAAATTACCGGACTTATGGAGCGATAATAATTTTCTGGAAATCAAATTACGCATAGAAAACTTTCAAAAATACGGAGTAATTTCTTAACTATTTATGTCTATCGGTTGGATACTTGCATTACGTTTCAAACTTTTATCTTAATAATATTCCCTCTTAAGATCGTTCCATTTTATCTTTGGGAGACTTTGAGTTTGCATTTCATGTTTTGGGTGATATTTAACTTTGGATCCCATTTTTAAAATCGTTAATGTATACACCCCAAATCCCAATAGCCCAAAAATTAAGGAGTGTGGTGCAAAGTGAAATGATTTTATTGTGAATTTGGGGTGCATACATTGACGATTTTGAAAATAGAGGCAAAGTCAAATATCACTCAAAACATGAGATGCAAAGTCAAATTCTTCCTTTATCTTTTTGGGAAATTTCATTAAGATTGTCCCATATCGAATTTGGTGAAGTTTGTGTAGCTCTAAATCATTCTTTTTTTATTCTTACTGATGGATCGTCGGACCAGGGGTGGCCGGAATCCACCGAGAATAAGAGAAGAAAGGGTGAGAGTGAATTGGTTTGCAAGTCTTACAGTATAAAATTCAGAGTGCGATCAATTAAGCATTTCTTTCCACAAATTGGAAGGTGATATTTATACTAAGGAGAAAAGGAAATACTTGGTGCCCAAGCAAAAGATGCTAGTCTAATAGGAGAGGGGCACGTGTAAAGCTACTCTAAAAAACTAACAGTCTAATTTGATAGGGAGCAGCCACGTGTAAAGGCTGATTGGAGAGAGAATCTTCAATAGCTGGCTGATTGGAGTTTGCTCCTAACAGAATTGGTGCCAGAAATCCCGTGTGGTTAAGCGTGGGTAACTGAGAATATTCCCTGGTGACGTGGTGATCTCCCCTTGTGAGGTAGATCCTCGCGGATTTTGTCTAAGTCCACGATGCTTTATTCAGACCTTGGGGTTCACTAGGGTCGATGTTCAGAAGCTCGGGCTCGTGATGGGAGGACTCGCCCCACCTTTGTCCTCTGTCCCCGCCTGGTGCTTGACTGCCTGGTGCTTTGATCATCGTTGACCAAGTGTTTAACTTCCGAGGTCAGACCTGGCACTGACCTCGGGTGCATCGAGGTCGGGCTCATAACTTGCCGAGTTCGATTGATTCCTGAGCCTGTTGTTTTCCCGACCTCGGGGTCGGGGTCGGCCGACTTCATCATCCATTGAATCTGGCTGATTTCCGAGCTTGGTGTTTTCCCGACCTCGGCGGTCAGGGTCAGTCTTGGAGTGTGGACTTAATATTTTGCGTACTCCAGAATGGGTCCGTGATATTTTACACCGGCGATTATGATACCCCTGGGGTATACGGGAATATACTTCATCACTTACATTATCAATTCAATATCAACCACATAAATTCACCTTTTTTAAGAATCGTGTCACCTCCTCTTGTCCCAATGTTAGTGGAATAGGTGTAGTAGTATAATATCACTCTCATGTCAGATGTCATAAAAATATACCCTGGATATATATATATATATATATATATATATATATATATATATATATATATATATATATATATATATATGGACTCTGGACCACGATCCTACCGGTGACAGATCTTGCAATCGAAAGTTGAGTATTCAAAAGAAATACATAATTAAAATATTGCACAGTAATATTTGTTGGGATATTAGGTCCCGAGCCAAGCATAGACCCAAATATCCATAAAAGGGCGGAGCTCCATGTAGCTCATCAGACATGTTGGAAGTCGAGCTCGGGAAGAATTGCACGGGCTGTGTCGCACGACCACGGCCGAACGGCCCAGTTATCACATTTGGACCATTTCTCCACTAGGGGAGGTCGGCCATGACGGAACGTCTCGAAGAAGTTGGCGGAAAACCTCATAATTGGCGGGAAGCGCGTTTAATGCAAAAGGTATGGAGGATTTTATTTTATGGTTGGGAGATCATCCACTCAGGGTCGGCCATATCACCCTCTCCAACTTCTCACTCATAGTATAAATACCAGTATTTATCTCATTGTAAAGGGTTAGCAACTTTGTACTCACAGCCGTAGTTAAAACAAAATCATTCTAGAAGTTTGTTAGTATAATTGTTTATATATACTACCTCATGGTATACAAAATGATTAAAATAATAGACAGTATACAAAAAATCTAGAAGAAGAGACAAATATATTATTACAAAAGAGTAAAGTTAATACCTTAAAATTGTGTCTGACATTCCTTCAAACAGATAAATTCCTATATTACAACTTTTGAGTCAAAAGCTCATATGGTGCGTAGTATTAGACAACCTATATGTCACTTTGAAATTCTATTTTTAGGAATTGGACTTGTCTTTAAGTTTTCTGATTTTTGTTTAAAAGAATACACAATCATTCATAGTAAATAGATTTATATAGACTATGTATCACTTTTTACTTATATTTTTTATTTTTTATTTCTTTCATGTTTTAACCATGGTAACTATTTAATTAAAATTTGGGAAAGCAAATATTGCATTTACTTATATTTGGGGGGGGAGGTGCAAAATCTTTTCTAGGGAGGGCCAATTTTATTTTTTCATATATATAATGGGCAAAATTATTTTTCTTGCAGGGGCGATGCCCCCTAGGTCTCTACTACGGTCCGCCCCTGTCTATGTAAAAGAGTATGAAAACATGAACGAAATAGTTGTGTAATTGGATTGGAATGTCACACGGCAACCAAAGAGGGGTGGCCCTTACCCTCTTTAAAAATGGCGAACAAAATTGCACCGACATACAACAAACACTAATCCGCTAGTGTAGATCAAGTTGGTCATGAATGAGAATTGGAAAAAACAAAAAAGGGCAGCCAATGCAACATGTTGCTCTATACAAACGAATTGTATGTATACTGACAACTCTGTTTAAGTAGACAAATAATGTGTGCAAATGATTACACATTTACCCGCTACACATTGTCTCTCTACTTAGAATTGTTTTTATACATGTCATCGGTCTATATAGAGCAAGTTGTTGCATTCCTTGCCCTTTTTTGTTTTTTCCAATTCTCATTCCCGGCCAACTCGATCTACACTTCAGCCTTTTTGTTAAAAATAATTACCCGCTGCTCTTTACTTTCAGAGCAACTAGTAAACCACCCATGCGATGCACGGTCAGAGAATGTATAACCATTTTTTTTCTCACAATTGTTTTCCATAATCATTCCACAAAAATATTCTTCACATTAAAAATAACATTTTGGAGTACAGTTTCCAAGAAAGTACACGATGCGCGGTTTTTGAAATATTACACATTGAAATATAATACTAAACTAAACCAAAATAATTGCACAATGGAACTGCGAATTAGCGTTAAAACGGAATTCAATGCAACGCTAGACGTTATTGAACACTTCTTTATAAACAACATTTTTAGTGTTGTTAGACGTTGAACCACTCTCATTGCATATAGATATTTTCAAACCACGTCTATTGGTCACTCTTGACACCGCAACATAGAGTTGTCCATGCGTGAACACATGTTTCTTTAACGGCAACCCCACGCGGGACAATTATTGCCCTTGACTTATATTCATATTCATAGCATATGAAATCATAATTGGATATTGTCGCCTCTGAAATTTGAAAGAGTTGGCATCTGAGGGGGTCAAGGACAATCTAGGAATCAACACTTTCTATCCAACACTCACACGAGTCAAAATCTTTCCCTCAAAAACATGATCACAAAGCCTCGTTAGAATGAACCGAGTTCCGTTACACAGCCCCATTGAATGGTCTATATTTCTCAGAAGCATGACTGGGGTCCCAACCTTTAACGTTAACTTGTGATTCGGTACACCATATAATTTAATGTTGTTTAGGAATTCCGGAGTGTGCAATTCTGCCATAGATATGTAGTAGAATCTACCTTTGACACACTGTCAGAACTAAGATACGTCCTGGAAACCTCACCGACGTTGAGACCCATCATATAATCATTAACGTATTCAACCACGGCCAACGTCGGGTCTAATATGGCACGGTCACGCAAACAACTAATGGCATGCACAAATGCAACATACTCCGGGAAAATGATTTCCACAATAGCAGCTATGAGATCTGCATTGGTGTGAATCAATAGATCATCACGAATATCAATTGAGACAAGGAATATCAAATGAGACAAAGCCATCATTTATATCCCCCAAAACACCATCACCAATACTAGCAATCCACTCAGAAAAATTCTTTAAATCATAAGGTTCTGTTTCATTCGTCAAATTCTGCAGACGCATGTTTTTGGTCAACCGAAGAACAGTGCATTCGGACCACTAATATGATGACTTGATGATCGCATTGACAACATCTTGTCTGCTCCCATTAGGTATCGCTGGAAGCACCTGGTGAAAGTCCCCCTGAACACCACAGTTTTCCCCCCATATGGCAGAGCCCCGCTATTTTGTTTGTGAAATTGCATTATGTCCGTCATACTGTGGTCTCATGCCTCAAAACAGAATTTGTGCAGCATTGGAGCTTCATCCCAAATAATGAGTTTGCACCGTACAATAAGTCGAGCAAGAGGACTCCCTTGCTTGATATTGCATGTGGAGTCTTCATTTAAACTAATTGGGATTACAAATCGAGAATGTGCAATGCGTCCGCTAGGAAGAAGTAGGGATGCAATCCCACTTGATGCAACATTAAGGACAATCTCACTCTTGGATCTTATTGCTGCAGAAAGTGTCTTCCATACAAAAGTTTTCCCCGATCCACCATATCCATATACAAATAAAACAATACCGACTTCTTCTTGCACGGAATGCATTATCGTTTCATAAACACATAGTTGCTCATCTGTAAGCGAACGAAACAATGTTGTGTGCTCTTCAGTCATTGAGGTGTGATGATAGCTCAACTCTTCGTATATCATCTTGTCATTAGAAGATAGTAGTGAATCAAGCTTAATTGTTGGCATTGGAGGGTAATCCCGCAAACTCTTTCCCCAACCTTGTAACAATTTTTCTAATTCTTCCAACGCAAATTTCTCCAACTGCTCATTAGAAAGAACCAGTTTTGTAAGAGAGAGAAAATATATTCAATGTTAATATACGGAGTATAAAATAAAATATCGATAAACAATAGCAAAATGTATTAATGTAAGGAAACCATTCACTTTTCGAAGGTTGAAACTTGGATGTTGCAACATTCGCCTCCGCGTGTGTTATATGTCATTCACCATGAACATCCAACAATGTTGCCAAACAAACTCCGGGCGAGCCATCGATTCTTTCCACAACAAAATAACGAATAAAATCCTCATATAAAAGCCTGAAGATAAAAAGCAAGCTTCCTTGAAAGCATCAATGAATTCATTATCATCATCCAGTAATCCCAGCACATAACACACCTCACGAAACGAAACATATGTTACACCGTCTACTGTTCTCAAATCTTCGTGACACATTGCACCACGAATGTGATTTAAGAGGCACCTAATGTAATAAGATTCACCGCTACCAGGATGTACATAATAAATTCTGCCAATAGCGAAAGCCTTTTTTCTTGAAGTTCGCTGCCTTGTGTTTTTCTTCCAAACGAACTTCTGAGGAAACTCGGCATACATCAAACATCTCGCTTCGGGGTATTTTTTTATTGGCCTCCATCCATGTAGTGAACATACTATGCTTAACCGACGTTGAATTAATCACTAAGTCAAGGGGCTGCTTATCATGAAAAAGGACAGATTGTTCTTGGGGCAAATGAGAACTCAAACGCTCCACTGCTAGGTTTTTGTACTCAATCTCAAAACCAAACACCCTCCAAGCAGCCTCGCACGGGGAAATGTATCCATAGTCATAATACATTTGAATCTCATCAATCGGCTTATGCTGCATATCACCATCCACAGTCTTATAAAAGGCAGTTGTTATCTGATCAAGCCCTTTGCTGATGTACTTGAACAAATACTTGATCCGACTCGACTCGTTACACCACTCAACATTCATATGTGCACCATATTTCATCAACAAATATCGATTGTGCGGAACAACAAACCTATTGTCCAAATCCA